AATGAGCTTGGATCTCTTAGTTGATATAACATACGTTGGTCTACAACTGCATTTTTCAATATACCCTCTCGCATTCAGGTACTCCTGAAGAGGTGTGGAAGTCCGTTCTCCCGCGATTGGGGTTGCGGGAAGGTCTGTTCACAGACGTGAGGGAGCGCCAAAGACGACTGGCTATGCTGTTCACACCGTGTTATGTAAGTTGCGAGGAATTGTACGTTGGTGCAAGGGAGGGATGTGGATCTGATTGTATGTCCCAGGACATGTATATCTTTTATAGATTGGAACTATTTAATTGTGGTGTGAAAGTACGTAGAATTGTACACTTAATCGATGCAGCGGGGTGGGATTCTGTATATGCCCACACTTTAAGAGTATCTAAATGTACGCATTGTGTTCTTACAATAGATATATTGTACATGTCAACTGGATATACGACACAAGTACCTGAAATCAAACATGCCTATCACACATATGTGCAGACAAATATCTTTCCAATTAGTCATATTCCCGACTAGACCTCGTAACTTGTGCCTGACTATGCAGCACTAGGGGCAGGTAAACCATTCTATATATGATATGTGGCTCTCCCAATTGAAATTTGACAAACATAGGTACGTTGCCATCTGCTACCATCTCTCTACACAGGTCACTCGACCTTGCAGCGGATGTGCATACTTAAAATACTTTAATTATTTCTCACCACAATGCACTCGAACTGATAGGGCTTTTCACCAGTACTTGACTCAGAGGTCAAAGTGGTGCCAGATATCTTCCACGGACAGTACAACTTTACGGAAGGCAATGGTGCGATTTCCCAGGCTATGGCCGAGGACCTAGTCAAAGCGTGCAATCTGCGCCTCGGGGAGGTAGGTAGTGTGTAGATGTATATACGTATGTGTGTGTAGATATATATACGTATTTGTGTGTAGATATATATACGTATGTGTGTGTAGATATACATACGTATTTGTATGTAGATATATATACGTATGTGTTGTGTAGTTATATATACATACGTGTTCATTGGTGTAGATCCTCGTGTACAGCACAAACCAAATGGTGTTAGTTTTTGTTTGTATTTCATATGGCGGTGTTGAGACCGTTCCTTATCTAGCATGAATGCGCCAAAGTTGATTGTGCAATGTACGGAACCACGCCTGAAAACGTTGCGAATGCGAGCACCTGAAAGAAAAGTACTATCTACCTGTAATATACATACATATGCATCCACATATGCCTTGGGGAACCGATGAACATGCTAATACAGCCTTTGTTAGTTGTATGTTTGCATCTCACATGCCGTTGCTGGCCCGGTCTTCTGTGCAGTATAACGCGCAATACACTCATCGGATATAATATCCGTATCCGGCCTGTGACTCGATTTGGCTAAACATGTCAGGCGAGATGAAACGGTCAAATCTATTGCTAACATATGGGTAATCGGAAAACAGAACACCTTCGCCAAGTGCATGATGACGGACAAACTCCCTTTGAGCTCCCGCCGCAAGCACCTAA